GGGAGCGCCGCTGCCTGGGGCGGGACCTCGGGCGTCATGCTTATAATTACGGAAGCGGCCCCCGGGCTGTCAGGACCCCAGGTCAGGCGCAGGTGCACATGGAGGGTCCCCCGCCGGGCCCCGGGGAGACGCCAACAGGGGGAGACTCCAGCAGGGGGAGACTCCAACAGGGGAGACCTCCAGCAGGGAGAGACTCCAACGGGGGAGACCTCCAACAGGGGAGACCTCCAACAGGGGGAGCCTCCAACGGGGGAGACCTCCAGCAGGGGGAGACTCTAACAGGGGGGACCTCCAGCAGGGGGAGACTCTAACAGGGGGGACCTCCAGCAGGGGGAGACTCCAACGGGGGATACCTCCAGCAGGGGGAGACCTCCAACAGAGGGAGACTCCAGCAGGGAGAGACTCCAGCAGGGGGAGACCTCCAGCAGGGGGAGACTCCAACGGGGGAGACTCCAACAGGGGGAAACCTCCAACAGGAGGAGACTCCAACAGGGGGAGACCTTCAACAGGGGGAGACTCCAGCAGGGGGGGAAGGCGGCCTTTGGGCTGTACCCCCGAGGATGAGTACAGTCCTTTGGGGCATGGGATGGCTTCAGCAAAGTCCGGAGATATCAGGGGGCAACCAAATGACCCTTTGGGTGGAGAGTGTTGAGAGCTGGGGGGGTCAGGGGCTGAGTCCTGAAGGAGTGCCCTTGATCCCGGTGGGTGAAGGGATGGTGGGGTTTCCAGGTGTTGGGGAAGGAGACCCACAGGCTCAGGTCAGCTGCTGGGGGAGAGGCTGCTGTGGTCTCCCAAGGAGGCCTTGCCCCAGGGTGTTCAGGGACTGGTAGCCCTGACTGGGGTCTAGCTCAGCAATGTCCTGCTGGCCCTGCTTGGGGAGTAGACTGGTTTCTAGAAGCTCACTGGCTGGAACTGGGTGGTCGAGAGCCCCAAGCACAGAGAATGGCAGGAAAGTGGAACCTAATCCAATCTGAGTCTCAGGAATCCTAAGGGGGCACAGAATGACCAGCCATTGTGTCTTTGGTTCTAACTCTGGAATACCCATCGTCACTGTTCTGCACCGGAGTATTTTCTCTCCTGTCCACTGGCAGATGGCTGTGTGCTGGGAAAGAGTTTGAGGCTGGGCGTCAGAGGATCAGAGGCTAGGCTTTGGGCCCCTCGCCTCTCCCCAGGCAGTCTCTGGAGCCCTTGGTTCCCGTGGAAGAGTGAGGTACCTCCGGATCCACCGGGAAGGCTCCATCCCCATGCCTGAGCAGCCCACGTTGTTGTCAGGGCATCCAGGAACCGGGGAGGGGGGGGGGG